ATTTACACCCGATGTTGCATTTGTAAGAAATAATAATGATGATGATAATAATGATGAAATTTATTGCCATCATTATCGTTATCATTCACATCATTATTACTATATCGATCATTTGTTTCAAAAGACTTAGATGGTGATGACAAAAAAACCAACTTATTGCCGAGAGGATGTTACCTTGATATAAAATCAAATGCTTTGACCTTAATTACAGCCAATAGCGGATTTTATGAAAACTATCATGTTAGTATAGAGTGCATAGATTTTAGCTGAAAAAAAAATGTTTAATCAAATCTATTTATCGTCCCTATTTCATTTGGGAAACTACTGGTAGCTAACAAGAGTACCTTGGGTTATCATAAATTTTTGATATGATTGTTTTGGCTCTTTTAATTTGAGGTGCAAGAAGCGCCAACCATCGACCACGATGTGGAAGGAATGTTTGTTGGTCCGATTCTTCACATTTCGTGCTCAAACAATGTGACGCTGTCAGCGCCAGCGAAAATCAGCCTCCCGTTGGCACTCACAGACGGTGGAATAGAGCCAGCGGAACTGCATTCAGGTCAAGTGAAGATACTACATTTCAATTCGAGAGAGGAATCACAAGAATGGACGGATATCACAGATCATTTGGATATGCCTGTAGTTCTTAAAGGTGGAATAGTGACGTTTCATGTCAAAACTTTCTGCCGGTAAGATGAATGTGTAGATCGCATTATTATTTTATAAACTGTATGCAGTTAATTTATTTTTTTTTTACATTTCTCGAAGTGAACCATTAGTTTTAGAAACCAGAAGTTCGCTTTGCAATTGCTGTGAAACTCTAAATTTCGTCAATTCATATGCTATGGGGTTGAATGTGATGATGAGTGCAAAAGAGTAAACTAACACATATTTAAGGCCGTGAGGACCATTTCCAAATTATACGCCTAATTTTTGAGAAATTTTGATCCCACTGGCGAGTGAATGGAGTTGTTAAAAATAACAAGCATCCAGTGAAAATTCTATAGAAGTTGAAAAGAAGGATGCTTAACGCCAATTTTATTGCAAAAACTGCTCCTCATGTGAGCTTTTGTTCTGCTCCACAGTGTAAGTCGTATACAAACGTTTGAAATCTGTTGTTTTAACATGCAGCGCTTTCCACAAATGAGGTATACCTACTTGTGAGTAAAATAACCCCCTCCCCCCCTCTGCTCCTCGTTTTCCTCCCCCTCCTCTTCCTCCTCCTACTCTCTCTCAACATTTGGCGCGTCTCTCGAGCTTCCCCAGGTTATTCAAGCTGGCTTTAAAATCAAAAGTTCTCATTGGAAATAGTTTCTCTCTTGCGAAGTCGAAAAACCGGACTTGTTGATTAGTTTTGAGCTAGGTAACTGACTCGGGTGGATACTTTAAAAAGGTCATGGTACTTGTCGAGGGATTATTTCCCTCTAGCAAATATTTCTTCTCAAGCGGTCAACATCTACAAAAGTGTACATACCTCTTTAAACGTGTGTGTGCGTGTGTGTGTGTGTGTGTGTGTGTGTGTGTGTGTGTGTGTGTGTGTGTGTGTGTGTGTGTGTGTGTGTGTGTGTTTTTTTTTTTCATGTCGTGTAGAGTTTCCTGCCATTCTCTTTCAGGTTTTGGCCCTGGTTGTTGAAGACGTCCGCCAGCATTCCATGGAAATATGCCTCGCTCCTATACGATGGAATCATGAAACATCAAGCTGGGTTTTTAGCTTGCTTATGCAATGATGTAGTACCCTCGAGATACGTGTTGAATATGTTTTGTTTCCCGTGGCATTTAAGGTCCAAAGTGAATAGCGATATGTCCTCAACATATTGTGTGAATATGCAAGGAGAAGGAACCTCGAAGAAACCGCTGTCTAGCGGTGATGAAACATGTGTGTCTCTATCAAATGGATTTGAAGTGCAGGGAGCGGGAAATGTAGAGAAAATCGTCTTAAAGTAAGTACCAGCACTGTTACGTTTCATCGTTCCGTCCTCATGATCCGCTCATTCGTAAAATAATGTAGAAAGGCATAGTGACTCTGCCTCTGTAACTAAGCTGCAACTAAGAGGAGGGTTGAGAAAGCGGCTCTGTCCTATGGTCTCCCGGCTTAAGGTCACAAGTCTGTTTCACGAAGGGATCTAAATTATCCATTCTAACTTCTTACCTTTAGAAAGCTCAAAATCTAAGAGAAATTTACACTTCAGCATTGTAAAGTTAAATAAGTTCCTTAAGTACGTGATTCCTTCACTGAGTTTGACCAGGAAGAAAGTCAAAATAACTTAACAAGTGTTTTTGCCGCTTGCAAAGACGCAAATTTAAGTGATTTGCTAAATCCACTATACTAGAAACCTAAGAAAAAAGTTAATATCCATCTAAACTTTTGTTCCCTTATTTATGCGAGGTTCCACAGTGAGCACCATGATCACGAGTTTCTGCGTGTTAGTATTAAAGACCCGAGTGATCTGCAAGTCGACTTCCTAAAACTGCTAGGAGGCGAGGAGAGAAATAATTTCCCAATAATATGTAAAGTGCCCATCATTCCAAGATCTCCAGCACAGGTATTTACGATACTGCTGTTTAAATGCATACATCTGCATTTTCATTCACTGAAACAAACTATGTGGATAAACAAAAATTGTACTGTCGTAAATCGCTTCCCAGAATGCTTGGAACTCAACCAAACAAAGTATCTGTGGTGAAATATCTTTTATTTCATTAAAGTATTAGGACGATTATAATGTAAAGTAAAGTCAAAGAGTTACACTTGCAGCTTTTTCTCGAGGCTCTCTTCGACATACATATATTCTGCAATTTCCATCTCCCAATTGCCTTGCAACTTCAGCAGCTTTTCGACAAATAAATTTAAGCTGTTCTGAATATTGGATGTTAATCCTGTTGCCCCACTGAACCATACGTTTTAGAGATTACAGTCTTTTGGATTGAAATTTAGGGTGTACCTGGCAGTGAAAAGCATGTGGCCACACCCATATAATTTCCAGAGACACTAATTTGGTGGCATGAGTTTTCGATCCACTCGGATATAAATATGTTTACCTTTCCAGTAATTATTATTGCTTGTTAATGTTCCTTACACGCTCAATATGAAATTTAAAATGAGTGGGATAACCTCTACTGTATTCATTTCACCAAAACAAATCCAGCGAATACTTAAGAAAATAAAGCGGCAAACTAGGATCCGGCCTTCCGATCCTTTGATCCAGATTTTTTCTTTTTATATCAGTGGTAATCTGGAAAGCGGCAGGTTTCTTCTTGAAAAATAGTCCTTTCGGGTTAGAGGCACTGCTGAGTCGACAATAGTCTTGCAAAATTCGCCATCAAAAGGTTTCCGAGTAACATCATGAAGTCATTTTAAGGCAGCACGACCTTATTGAGGACGAATCACTGGAAACAGAAGTATGATGAATGTCGTATAGGTAAAGAAATGTCCTGCCCAAAGGAAATCGTACAGGAACATATAAGACATTAAAAGTTTTTGATTTAGTGTACTACTTTTATTTTTCAGTTGCTTTGAGGTCACTTTCCATGCCTCTGCTTTCTTCTTCTTTGTTTTTTCTTTTTCTTGTTATTTAGTAATTTTCCTTATTTCCTCATTTCTATTTGCTCCATACGCACCCGTAATATTGCGAATTTTCCCTCCACCATTTAGGGTCATGTTCTTGCCACCTTTGATCCTGAAGAAGAAAGTAGTAAGTTGTTGTTTTTGTCGTTGGTTTCGTTGTCGTTCGAATAAAATGATGGCTGGTCTAGTAAAGTTTACTAGACCAGCCATCATTGTTCGAAAATATGCAAACTCAAAAATGCAGGCTCTGTGGGTTTTGAAAATGTAGCATTTAGTGACAAAGCAACGTGTTCTCAACGGAAAGTCATAATAATCTGCCTTAATTCATGTGTTAATACATCAGGACATGCTCTACCACACTCGACAGTGATCGCTTCTTGTCTATTACGTATCAGTAAACTCGATCCAGACCTTCACAGTAGGTTTGCCCTTCCTTGTAAGGAATTTGATACTGGAAACGAGTAAAGCGCAAAACAGCTCAGTTAGGAAAGACACAAAGAATTGTAATTTTCTAAAATATCATTCCGTTGGTTATATCCCTAAAATAATGGAGTCACTTTAACGGTAAGAAACCCTTTGCAACCTGCTATTACTTTTCAAATGAACTCTTGGATCGACTATGTTTTATTATAACAGCCCCATTTTTCAAATTTGTTAGTGCTCATTATTACCTAGAAAAGAAATTGACAAAACTTACTACTCTAAGTCGTGAAGGCTGGGTCTTACCTGCACGATCGCAGTCCAGGATCACCAAACCATTGTTTCCGAACCATACGCGCCATAACACTTGCGTTCGCTCTCAACCCAACCATGTCATTAACCCCATTTTTATGCAGGCATTTTCGCCCAAAGTGAGAAAGGTAGTACCGAGATTGAAAATCTTGCGATGGATTTTCTTTTTTGTATTTTTTCAAGTTTGCATATTGCTGCTTCACGTTTATCTGTGGAAAATTGTTTTTGTTGCAGAAAGGCTAGCATTATATTTATCAGACATCCTTCACACCCAGTTACAATGTGCCACATTATAACTGGGTTGGAAGAGAATAAAAAATAACGGATTAAAATTGGGCGCTATCCGGTGACTACATCAACACTCGTGTATCTTGAACAACTATCACCTATTCCAGCATTAGCAGCTGGAGACTGGCTAGGAGACGTTGTTAATGACCTCCATTTTCAAGATGCTTGTCGGGCCATACACGAATGAAGAGGTCAGAAATAAATAATGAGTCTGGAAAACTTTCTAAGCGTTTTTTTTTTTTTATTATTATTATGAGTTGGGAAAATTATTCTCCTGCTGCTGCAAATGTCTTCTCGCCCAAGCTTGACAATCTCTAAGGCAGACGATTCGGTATTGAATGATACCAAAAAATGAGAGGTCGCCTTTCGCCACAACTGTTTGCTATTCACCAAAGCCCTGAAGCACCCTTTTCTAATTTTTTATTCTCCCTCCGTTGTTATCCTCAGGTACCTATTCGGTTAAAGATGGTAAACCGTTAGATGAGGAGTTGCAATATCTGTCCAGGGAACTTGCAGGAAAATGGAAGACATTAGGAAGACATCTGGGATTCAAAGAAGCTGCAATAGATGACTTTGATCAAGCCAATAAGGAGCTGGCAGAGAAGGCTTATAAAATGTTAATAGCTTGGAAACAAAAAGTAGGCTGCGAAGCCACTTACAAAGTTTTGTACGATACCTTGTGTCACAATTTGGTGGAATGTAAACTTCTAGCAGAGCAGTATTGTTGCAATAAGATAGTAGGAAATGCCTCTCCTTAGTCATATACTATAGAGACTGAGTCGTTTCTGTATTACGTCAAATATATTTGTGAGTACTCCAAAGAGCGTCTGTGTCGAGCATTCACGCCTAGTAAGTCGTTCGTTTTCCTTTCGATTCAAGATAGGGAAAAAATATCTCTAAAGAAAAGATGTTTACTCGTATTTTTGCACTCAAGAACCGCTAGCTAAAGAATACTAAGGTCGTAATTCACTCAGAAGTCCAGAACGACAGAACTGAATAACGTCTGCGCATGCGTTACGCTTTGGCGCGGAACACGAGTTTTGAGTCGTTTGCACGTTCGATGTGCTATGCTATAGATTCTAGCCGTTTTTTCCTTGTTGCTTTTTTTTACAGAATAACTTCCAGAATAACTTCCAAAAACTTTGTACACCCCCTAGATATTTTCAAAATTTAATTTTCTTCTTAAAAACACTGGAAATAGGAAAATGCCTTCAACGACAACAAAATGCCTTGGTTTTAAATGACAGCCCTACTTTTCGCCGCAAATTTCGCTGAATTTTAACCTCGAGCGCTTGAGCCCGTGTTATTGACCGTATAACTGATGTAGCATTGCGTTATTTAGCTCTATCGTCCAGAACATGTGAAGTACATTACTACCCTCAAGCATCTTATTTCATACTTCACAGCTTGAAATTAGAATGCATTTTCCCCCCACTGTTCTCTGTGCATTTCCAAAGGAACAGACATAGAGAATTGGTTTAACAGTTAAGAGCTTCTTAAGTTAGTGATCAGTTACTATATTCTCGTGTTCTTAATTTTTGATTTAGGTTGACACTGTAAGGAAAAATTAGATGCTAGACACTATTTGAGTTGAATTAATCGTTTGTGGTTAGCTTGAATTAACAGCGTAATTTTGTATAAAGTGAGATTCCCCTTGTCTCAGTGTGGTGGATAAGTATAAAACGTGTAACGGCCTTAGATTATAAAATTTGTAGATGCTGAGCTACCTTTTTGTTCTTAAAAAGTGTGAAAGTTCAGCAAAAATCAAATACAAAATGTCTCTTTCTCAGGCTTAACTCCCATGATTCTTTGTGGTTTATAGAGGTTTCGCCCCATTGAAAGTTCAACAACAAGTTCACCCCTGCTTCGACGAGTGGTCCCTGTCAAATATAATATAGATTTATATAGCCAACCCTAAAAGCGGAGTTCCAGTCAGTTTATTTTCCAGCCCTTCAACTTCTAAAAATTCCTATGCACTGGCTCTCGAAGAGTTAACGAGATGTGGAACGGAAGGAAGATATTCTCACAACTTGCAAAGTGATCAACATATCAACATGCGTGCTAGTCAGCGGTATTTTCAAGCAGCTGAAGACTTTCGTTGACGTTCCTTATTGTTTGAACGGATTGTCAAGAATATAGAATGTTTTCTTCCCTAGATGTCTGTATCGGTTGAAATGATATTTTATTGCCCGTGTTTGTTAATTTTGGTTTAGACAGAATGAAACGACGTTAAACGACTTCGAGTTAAGATCTAGATATCACCGGTCCATTAAAGGGTTTACACGCGGGATCAGTAGTCACTGAAACAATGTGCCAGAATCGTTTTTAGCATCTCTTATACCTTCTCCTGATGTCGCCATTTATGACTGTTTACTTCAAAGGTTTTTCTCTAAACTGTCAAACTCCTCTGATAAGCGTAGAAAATTAGAAAGAAAAGTCACATTTCAACTCGAGTCGATGTTTAAATTCTCTTCTTTCAACTGCTCTGGCTGGAAAGACCGATGCTGTAATTGCATATCAATGTACATGTCTTTAAACCAACTATCCTCTATCCTGGCAACCCTAGCCACTGAAATTCTAAATTTGTCTACCATCTGGTTCTTACGCTGCGAAAGTTAGATTTCAATGAAGACAGGCTAGAGCTAGAATATCTTTGTGCATAACAGAAACTAATCCAAAGATCAATCAAGTTTTATATTTAGTTTTAAAGTTGAGTCGATGTTGTTATTGACCCATGAAAGAGATTCTGATATGGTAGCCTCTATGAAATTCTGTCCTGGAAACTGGAGTTGTGGCAACATCACGGTTACCATGAAAAACAACAATACATTTTATTGATCTGAAAAAGTATTCATTTGACCATCAACTAAGACTTTCACTGGTTCACTCTGACAAAATTTTAACATAAGAGGTTTTAAAAGGCTTGAGTATTTGTTAAAATTGGCCAACTTGATGCAACAACTCAGGATATACATTGAATGCACACTTTTTTTAAACATTTTTTCATTAATGCAGTTACCTGCTGGCAAAACATTATGATATATTTCAACCCAACCATTTTCTTATGAACACCATTATCAAATAATTATGCAGGTACCCTGGCTAAATAGAAAAATGTGTAGTATATACAAAATGTTTTAAATGCCACATTTAAACTAAGCGAACGGCATTGAGAAGGGTGTATAAGGGAACAGGGTCGCTTATTTCTGTCATTCATTTGCTTCTCACACCTGTTGCGGACTAGTTCATGAGGCTGGGCTGTCAGGGCGAGCAAGCCATTAGATTTAAGGGAAATGTTAATTAGGAAAGTGATTATTTTGGAGCCTGGAAAATATCATTGTGTAAAGCCATACAGGTACTAGCAAACTCATTCTTATAAACTAGTACGAGGAAGGATACAATATTTTACTTCATAGATTTGATTCACAGGCTGTGCACAAAAATTTAATTGGGCTATTAGAACTAAAATCCCTAAGGAATGATAAAACGTAGCCGGGTTAACACTGAAGTCGCCTCTAGCGTTCAAGTCGTTGTTTTCAAATGTCGGTTTTTTTTGCGAATACAACGTGTATGGTATAAAGACAATGGCTCCGAGAAGCCGAATTAAGTACAAAGATAATAGATTGAAAATGATTGAGATCGTTGCAAAGATGCTTGCAGCAAGGATGCGTTATTTCCAGAAATAGAAGAAAAGGTCGGAGTTTGCCCCAGATGGCCAATACTGAGACAGGCTTAAACATGGCTAGAAATCGAGGTCAGTCAGCGGCTGATGTCGCGGACGCAACACGAGCTGCGTTTCACCTTACTGCGTCTGCGCATCCCACTAAAATCAAACATCAAAAGATGTCGGAAATTACCTTTTACAAAGCCATTGCCATAGGTGTGATTTCTATCATTTTTCTGTGTCTTGATAAAATCATGCCACAATTTCAGCAAAGGGTAGGGTACGTCCACAGCTAAGATGATATTCCTTGTCACTTTCAATCCCCAACTTCCATTTTAAAAATGAATCAAATGGAGGTGTATCAGACATTTTGCAGCGCTGATAACTTCTTTATTATTTTCTTTCCGAGATATTGCTTGAGAAGCTGTTAAAATCTTGTCCAAGTAAGAAGCTTACTATTTTGTTTTTCAAGTCAAATTATTTTCGCGCCAATGCTGCAATCTATGTCAATCTTTGAGCCTTCAGTAGCTGCCCTGTAGCGGTATTGTCCATAACAGGCTAGGTTACTATGTTTTTACAAAATGGCGATCGAAGAGTTCTTTGATATGTTTTCAGATCTTATAATTTTAGTTTTTGAGTCAACGTCTCTACTGGGAACAAGACCCATAAGAAAAAAATTTTTTTTGGACTTTTGGAAGTCGTTTGGCAGCGTGGATTCACACTTTTATGACTTCAAATAGCCTTCAATTAGAAGGTCGGCTTTCGAAGAGATCGAACAGACGTGGGCAATTGATAAAACAACCCTTGTTGTGGCTGCAGGAGAAGCTTTAGCTGACCAACATAAGCCATTTTAAGACACTTAGGGCACCAAAAAGGTTTAAAGTTTCTTCGACTGGGGCAGATCGTAGCGAAATCGTAAGAGTTTGAGAACGGAGGTGAGTGATCTGGACACTCTTCTAATACATTTCAGACGAGGGCATTTTTAGTACACGCTTCCAGAAAATTACTGTGTCTGATTTTCATGCGCATGCTTAATTTTCCCTAGCCAGAAGATATCAACGTCGCGATATTGTGACCTTATGCAGCCGCCATATTTAAACTCCGTAATTTGTCTTTTATCCGCATGCTTAGCCGCCATGATGTCTTCGATTTCTAGCCCTGAAAACAGATATCAATATTATGCTTACATTTCTTTTTCTGAGCATTGCTCGTATTAATCTTAATCGTGACAAATTACTCAACAGGAAAGTTATTTTGAACCTAGAATGAAAAAATGACATCTAAGGCACGTGAGGTTTGGTTTGTTTCTTTATAACCCTTTAACCCCCAAGATCTGATTGTTAAATCTCCCCTCTAGCTGCTACACATTATCTTGTAAATTAGTTGTAAGAATTTGTTGTTAAATCAGCATAACAACTTTTCCCTGATAAGTTTCAGGATTCTTGTTACCTGTTTGCTGGATAATGTGAGGATATTATCAGGAGAAGTTTCATGTTCATCACTTCTGGGAGTTAAATGGCTAATTAAGCTTACATAATGCTAAGGATTTGCATATGTTTTTCTCCATGGAAAAATAGCAGTTACATGTAGTTGCTGCTTAAAATGAATTCTTCAGGACAAATTTATCTTCAGGTTTTTTTTATTTATTGTTTTTCTTGTTTTGCTTTATTTTGTTTCAATTTACCCTTCAGCATAATGCAACTTGTGGTTAAATTAATTAAGTGCAGAATGGATTCTTTGGTTCACCACTGAAATGAAACATCCTCCCTGGATCTTGTACAACATTTGTTAGTGTCTTTTGTTCTCCTTTATTTTGTTTTTTATATCTAAAGTAAGTTATTATTTGTAATTTATTTTAGCAACTGCTTCAATTGTTCACCTTGCTTCGATTCTTCAGTTTTTTTAAATTTTGTTTGGAAGTATATTAAAGAGCGTGTTTTTTTTTGGACTGTTAAAAGTATGTTTGGCCATCATGAGCACCTCTGGGACTGTGATTCCCACAAACCACCAAATTTGCATCTTTTTTTCTCTTTCATTTATCTTTTTTGAACCAATGATGCTGTTGTTTTGTTCAGCTTATCAACATTTGCTGAGCAAGTCTCCAACATCTTGCAGTTCCCTTCAGTCTATAATTTTCCCCATCACCTGCATACCTACTTCTTGATATATACCGATGATAAGATATTACCCAATAAATTTGTCCTGAAGAGCTGTCTAATTTTGGTTGCCTGCAATTCTGATTTTTTTTGGCTCAGTATATGATGGATGACAACCCAATTGGTAGCCTTTGACAACCCATGCCTTTGTTGGAGAAAAGAACAGGCTACTGTTTATATGGTGTGTCAGTGTTCTCTGAAATGATTTTGTGAACAAAAGAAACATTTTCCTTCTATAGCAACACTCTTCATCTTGAATCAAATCTTATACACAGAGTTTTCCATGTAGATGTAAGGTTTGAAAATTGGGGACTATCACTTGAGGTATATTCTTGCATATCCCCCAGTTTTAGCTAGGGGATATTCTGTCATGTGATGGGCTTAGACCAATTGCCCACAAGCAAATAATTGTATTTGTCGGATTATAATGGAATTTATTGATCATCAATAATTTTTTGTAAAAGTAAGGTAGCTGATGTATTGTAAGTGTAATGTGTGGTTTTGTAATTAAGATTTTAAAACATGAAAAAAGAAGGAAAAAAAAACAGAGAGAAACTAACTTTGGCCACTGCTATATACAAGAAACTAAATTGATGTTTTTGTCTCTGATTGGTTGAATATAGTGCTAGTATTTTAGCCAATCACAGACCAAGGTCATGGAAAAGCTTAGAAATATTAGATTGTTTTTAGGCTCAATCAATGTTATAAATAGCACTGTGTAAGACAAGTAAAAAGATTATTATAGTGTTCAAATCTGTCCCAAATTGTCTCCTCTTAGCCAACTACCTGAAATCTTGATCCTTTTACTTCTGAGATTTGAGAGTTGACTTACTCAACTGAAAACCTGATCTGACACAGTTTGTTTATAATATTTCTGAGAATATGCTTGAGATTGTTTTAATGCTCAACCAAAAATTTGTCAAGTTGTTTTAGATATTTTATTTCCTCAATGGTTTTTGTTTAGATTTTTTCAGGCCCTTCTTTATGGATGCTGTCAATGTTCCAAAAAGACAACATGAAACATGCCTGTGATAAGGAGTTTCAAGCTCTTAAAGCCTGTATAAGACATTAGCAGTAAGTTTCCTGGTAGACTGACCAGGCTCTCTTTTCTTTCTATGTTTAATTAGCTTTGATACCATGGTAGATTTCAAACCACAAACTCAAGTGTTATCATAACAAGATAGTCAAAGGGGGCCACAAAAGTGTCCTGTCAGGGATGGCAGAGACTTCATGTTGCTTGACAGTAGTATATCTTCAACTCGGTGACAGATGTATAGAATAATTCTTGTTATCAAAAGACAAAGCACAATTTAATTACAGGAATTGATTGACTTCTGTTCTGATTATCACCTAGCAACAACCAATTACATCTAATTTACTAGCATAAAACCCATAATAAATCAAGCATTCTTTTCCATGTGATAAAAGTAGCTCTTGCACATCTGTTGTACTGAGTGAATACTACAGCAAAAGTGAGCCAAGTGATTAAATACTTAGACAAACAAGTGTAGTTCAGTAAAGCCAAGTGAACAGGGTTAAGTTCTCAGCAGAGAGAAGGGTTATAGAAAAAGGAAGCCTTAGTTTTTCAATACAATACATTCTTTGCCATATACCTGTCCAGAGTTTGTTTCAGTTCAAACTTTGTTAATGAACTTGAACATATTAGGTACGTAAGGACTAGCTTCAAGGGAAACAGTGACTTTTCTTTTTTCCAAGACTCTCAAATGTTCCTTGAGCAGAAGGCAAAGGGGAAAATCAGGGTCAAATAAAAAACAAGTTTGATTTGAGAGGTATAACATCATGATATTAAAAAATTTAAAAGTAATTTTGAGTACTTACATACTTAAACATGTTCTCTCAAACTCTAATATATACTCTCAAATTAGTCAGCTTTAATCAGAATTAATCAGGTTCATACTTTTATCATGTGGTGGGTACTGTCTTACAGCGAGAGAGGAATGGGGTTTAACTTTTCATTGTCAAATTGTTGGTGTCCTTTTTTGTTATTTTCTCCCCAACAGTCAACAGTCATTTGCAAAAATTAGGGACTTGAGATAAGAGAATACAGCAAGTCACTTAGTCATAGGACTGTAATATACTTTGTTTACTTAAATTCAAATACTACCTTCAAAATAATCTAATGATAACCATTATATACTGAAACAAAATGTTTCATTCTTGATTGGTCCATTGTGTATGAATTTGAAAATAACTTAATAAGTTTCTTATTAAGTTACAGGTTTTCCATACCACACACTGGCTTGAAATGAAAGCTTTTGAAAATAACTAAACAGCACTAAACTTTTCCATTGTTAAAGAAAAAAACATTAAAATTTGATGTGTCCATCACCCTCTTCATTCTAATGAATTATCAAATCACACAATATAATTATCTACATCTCTAATTACAAAGAGCAGTATTTGTATGAGGTTTTGTTCAGAACATATCTGCATACATAAAAAAGCACAAAAAGGTCTTGCATTTCATAATTTATGGTTACTCATAATTTGTTGTGAAAGGTTTCCAAAAAGCACTCCCATAGCTTGTGCAATTACCAAAGCTTTCTAAACATCACTCATGCCTTTTAATTAAGAAATGTACTTGAGCTCATGGGATTTCCCTTACAAATACATGTGAGATTAAATTAGATTCATAGAATTGAGCAATAGAAAAAAAGAAATAAAATTCATCATATTTGGAAGATGATGCTTATGTTACTGTTAATTATGCTGTTATACACATTTCCCATCTGCACCCTGTGCTCACATGTGCCAATTCCTGCAAGAACACACTGTCAGCCAAGGAAATTGTAGAAGCACAATGATATTATAGAATCCTCACATGCATTTGGTATTGTCTGTTTTAACCCAAAAAAAGCAAAGAGAAATTAGTTGCTTGTTACTATTTGGGGTTAAAGGTTCTGAGAAAGTTAATGTTTAAACAGTAGAAAACTTGGTGTGCCTGGCCTTTTTTTTTCCTATGGGACAAGATGTTAATAAAATAGGGATTCTTATCAATGAATTTTTTATCATGTATTTTATTTTTTTATCTCTCTGAAGTTTCCCTCTTGTTTGATGATGTATTTTTGTTGCAGGCAAAGAAAATTGAATTGTGGAAAATTGAAAAGAGAGAACAACCACACCTGTTGCAGCAAAGTTCAGAGACAAAAGACACCACAGGGGACCCACTCATTTTTTGTCTGGGATGAAAAATGTAGTAAGGAGACTTTTGGGCTTGTGGAAACTTAAAAAGATTACTGCTAATATGAAATATATGAGAATTACTTGGCATACTGAGTATGTTGTGTCCTTTTTACATTTTATTTAAATAGTGAGATTATATTTTAAAACTGAAATAGAAGCTAAAATGCTGGGCAGTTGAACCCATGAAGCACACAAAGATCAGTCATTAAAAAGAATACTGGGCTTATGATCATAAAAAAGTCAAGTTTTAACTTAGTTTGATGGCTTGTTATTGAACCTGTGTATTCTAATCATGTCTGAAATCCGCAAGTTTTAATATTTCTGCCTCAGTGTCCACATCCTCTGTCCCTGAGATGTCAAAGTGGCAGTTGCACTGTGTGATGCTGATAAGGATTTGTTATATCCTATTGTAGCTCTTTTTTCCAAGCTTTTGGAAAGAGTATCTAATCAACTAAAAATAGCCATGGTTCATTTCACCTCAGTTGGTTTTTGTAACAGAAAGGAGTACAATACCCCAGTTACACCGTAAGACACCACAAGAAGCCCAAGCTTTTTCATTAACACTCTGTTAGTATATAAATACGGCAAAGATATAAATTCTGTAAACTGCTGCTTACGAGCCCCCAACCCCCATTTATAAGCCCTCCCCCCCCCTTTCAGGTTAAATGCACATCTACCTTTGAACAAAAATAAATTACAAAATACAAAAGAAAAATATTAAATACTAGGAGAGCAAAGATGAACTTCGAGGGGGAAATCTGAACTTCCGCGTTTTTTATCTTACAGTTTTGTTCGTGTTGTTAGTTTTTTGAAAAAATCCTGTTTTAAATGTAATGAAACGAGTTTGAGTTATTTCGACGTTTTGAAGCTTAATTAAAAACCAATAAATGCAAAACATATTTTGATCAGCGTTCAGCTTCTTTCACTCTTTCTAGTACTTTCACAAGCCACCACGGACGTAGGCCCCTCCGTTTATAAGCCCCCTCGGATATAGGCCCCTCCGTCTAAAAGCTCTTCCTAAAACTCTTACGAAGTTGTGTAATCACTGAGCTCATAATCGCTAGCTTTCGGTATATTTGTGTTGTGGAACTTAAAGGATTGGAATAGTTACATTCTCAACTTGAAAGTTTGATTCCGTTTTGATCAAAAACAAAGACAACAACTTTTTTCGAATTTTCAAGGCTGTTTTGCGGCTGATTAGCTCGCAGTTGAGAGAGGCAAGAGAGGGGACTTAAAATTACCTATGCGGCCGTAAATCAGCTTTAAGAAACTTACAAAATTCAAACGAACAAACAATATAGAGGCAACTGAAAGTTCTTTGTTCAAAAGTATTTAAAATTTCTGGGTTAAGTATGCAACAGTTTATTCTCAGACATCCTCATATTTCGCTCGTCGGCCAAAATAGTTATCATATTTGTACAGTTATGATGGCTAACTGTGCGAGCGTGGGCTACCTGTGAGCTCAGTCACGCATTTAGTGAAGAACTTAAAAACAAGAATAGGGCGGAATTACCCAAAATGCGCCATTTATTCTTAATGGGTGGGAAGGGGGGCAGGGCTGATGTTAGCCTTAATTTTCTTCATGCTCTTGGTTGATGGAAATGAGCAAAAAAGCTGCCGTGAGATCAGGAACTTTAACTCGCCCGGTTCTTCGCTTGTCTCTTATCCACTGACTCAGAGTCGCAAACAGGTTTCTTATTTTGAGAAAATTTGTCGGTTTAACTTATCTTGGGACAATCATGAAAATGACAACGATTTAACCAAGATAAACACAAGGAATCAAATTTACCCACTGAATAAATATAGGGGTCGGAATGTAACGGGCAAAGACCTTGACAAGTGGTCGCGTGACAGTTATGAAATTTGATTTCTGTTGTCAAGGTCATGTGATCTTTTTAATTGTGCGAATGTCAGGATTACATACTCAAATTCTAGGAGCCAGACGAGGCGATGAATCGAATGTCATTCGTCTCTCACCTCTCATCTCATCGAATTTCTTGTTACTGGGATACCTGTGGTAGCCCAGTCATAAAATGCCTTTGTTTTTTTGTCGTCTTTTTTTTTTTTTTTTTTTTTTTTTTTCCTCCGCCACAAAATGGAAAAATTGCGCAATAGTGCTCAGTGGTCATGACACCATGACAACTAACTGTGATCCAATGAGGTGTTCACATGCTGATCACGCGTACTATCTTGATGATGATTGACGTTGTCATGCACAGACAGGGCCGGGTCACATGACGAACACGAGATTTTTGCCCATGAAACTATTTTGTCAGTCGTTTTGTATTTCAACGTAATTGGATTACGATCATCTAAAGCGTTATTGGGCAAACGCTCAAAATACTTATAGACGCATACACAAGTCAAATTGTTCGCGGCCAATCCACACAAAAAGATGTTATTGAGCGGTAATTTTGGATCGGACAGAATCGCGAACGCTTGAAAGCCATGAAAGCATTGAATGCCTTGTATGTCTTGTATGCCAAGTATGCCAATGTCTTAGTTGAAAACGTAAACTCGTTGTAAAAAGCAAAATCTGAAATCTGAAACCAGACTGCATATACTCTATGCAATCTATTGAACAACACTACTACCGTGAGACTGAAGAACAAAATTCAAATGGATGCAAACTGCTAGTGAAGAAAGACACCATGTTGGATTCACTTGATGCCAGGGAACGTAGCTACGATAACAGTGCGAATGGTATTAATTTCACGACCAGAAAGGTGAATCTTATGTTTGTTTTCATTGTAGTTGTATGGATATTCTTTTTTAATAAATACATGATCCAAAATCCCGTGTTTTTTGTCTATAATGTTATTATGTCACGTATTGTTTACGCAATTGTCTTGTCACAGGCGACCCAAGGTCACGTTTCGAGAAAGAGCCAACATTTCACGAACGCGTCACGCGTTGTGTGACTCAGAGTAAGTTATTCTAGGAACCATTGAAAATTTGAACACGTTATAAGGAATAGTATAGGGAACGAAATATGGTCGATTTACAACGATAAATGTTTCGAAATATGAAGATTTTTCTCGAAAAATCAATACAACTTACTCATACCCTGTGTATCCGTTGTAGTTTCTGGCGATTGTTGCCGTTTTAAGCTTGCTTTACCATCACTATTATTCACGTCATCTACTTTTATTACATTGGTAAAATCTGTACAGACATCACACCAGCCAACTCGCGCGCAAAGTAAGAAGACTATGTTGATGGCTTGAAATTATATTACGGTCGATTTTCATCAAGAAATGGGCCAGGAATTTTCCACAATAGTGCAAATAATCGTGAAGGCTGATCGCGGAAAAGCGATTGCGTGACGCTCGGTAAGCTGTAAGATGACATGTTATTATATACCAGACGTAAAAACTCTTCAGATTCTCAGTCTGCATTTTTTACCCACTCTGCAGTCTATATTTTGTATCCGGTCTGCAGTCTGCTGTCTACATTTTGTACTAACAGGTATCCGTGGCACAAATACAGTTTATTTTTGGTTACATTTATTCGCACAACACACATAATCTACCACAAAATACCTGTGTGTGAGGTAATTCGACATTTTCATTCTTTCCCGGGTTAATACCCTTCTTTCCTTTTGTAAGAATGTAGACCACTTACAATGCTTCGAGTAATCCACCCACCCTAGAAAAATAAATCTTGCATGCATAGCATGCCTATGTTTTGAAATAGGTGTATGCCCTTGGCCAGACTTGAGCTCACTATTTCAGTATACTAGTCCGACACGCGTAGTATCACTACACTTGATTCCACGGATCCAGTACCATCCAGGTATCCCAGTTACCCTGCTCACAGGGTCTAGTTTAGTTTTACACCTCTGTCGAAGGAAAGGAACTCAAGCTGTGGATTAATTTTCCCAAGAGATTTGAGAAACAGATTGGTTGAATCCTTACCTCTGTGTTCCAGGTAAGACTAGGTGCAGCAATTTAGAAGATACTTTGATGACAGTCGTTGTTTGTAGTACCCTCGATTGCAGATATGCCCCGAACAACCTGCTTCAGTATAACTATCATCGTGTATAAAGTCCTACGTGATTCTGATAAATAGCCAAACGAATATCGAGGTCAATAGAGTCTGAAGATAACGTAAGGGTTCAAGATGTTGAATAAACATTCGAGTGCGCGGTCGTTAGCTTTCGTTTTCTCCGAAATGTTGATGAGAAACTTCAGAGCGCTTATACTATTGTTAGAACATTTGGAAAGAGACGCACTCGGGAAAAATTCGGCTCGGGGGCTCGGGAGCTCGGTATGCTTGCATGTGAACCATTTTCAGAGCAAACTAAGAGTGTCGTGAACTCAAGGAAGCAAGCTCTCAGTTGAGCTCACTGCTGCCTTCATCAGATATTAAGTTTGGCAGTTCTAGTTACCACTGCCCATCTGTTACTATAGCAAAGCTCTCGCACTTGCCCGTGGACGATTTTGTCAGGCGAAAGAGCTTCAGCGAGAAACCACCAATTTCAAACTGAAGAGCTTGCTCCTTCAATCCCCAAAATTCTGTTAGATGTTTTTTTAAATTCGAATACCTTTGTCTGTTTATCTTGCGACTTCTTCGCCTTTTCGGAAAAAAAAAACTCGCTATCACTTTTATGATTCCACCCATGGCTAATACGGCTGGACCGTATGAACAAACAACGTGGTTGAAATAATGCATAGATTTAACCAAGCTTAAAAGCGGACCTCGCATTTCTTTTTTCCGCATTTCTTTTTCCCGCATGTCTCAAGGGTAGAACGCCTTGCCACGGCTAGGACTAGACCCCGGGTTGACCACGTATGTTAAAAGTAGCGCCTTGTACGGGTACCCGTACAGTCATAAGTCCAAATTTTTTCGGCTTGATGGGTAACTACTACTACTTTGTATAATTATGGGGCTACGCTCTGCGAATTCCGCTATTACAGTGGGAGGTTTCGTGGGCTTGAGTACCGGAAATTGTTCTGTAGAATGATCCCGCGCTCTGCTCTTCCGGCCAAAAAGTAAGAAGATGACAGGAAATTCTATAGCTAACTTTAATGTGGTTACTTCGTAAACTAGAAAAAATACAAAATTCTCTGCTGATCTTAACGCCT